AATCTATTTCTTAAATTTAAAAAAGTTCCACTTTCTTTTTTTTGACCACCACCATAAACATTTTCTGGGGAAAATAGGAGGAGAAGAGGATAAAAAACTATTAAATCACAATGGAGGGAAATATTATTTCTATAATCAAAAAGTCTTTATAAATTGTATTTTGTCAGAATCTTAGCTCTGTACTAACTTTTTCATTAAGTTTTTCATCTCCTGTTTCTCAGAAAGACTGTTCCTTTCAATAAATAGATTAAAGATATACATTAGCTGTGTGATATGACAGCTGAGTTCATTCTCAAGTTGCTTGAGGGACTTGTGTTCTCTGAGATAGTGGCCACACAGGTTTGGTGGTATATTTGATTTCTGGAAAAACCCTGACCAAAGGTTACTTTAACTTTTCAGACTAGCTAGTACAAAGATTGCTTTTTAGACCAAGAAATGAAGGACTGAAAAAACAACATTCAAGGACTTGCATATTTTTGGTTAATGCCAGCAAAAGAAAATGTATGCCTATTGAAAGTGGCAATAACTGCAATATAATAATATAATAGGTAGTTGACCTAATCACTGTGATGAGCTCTCAAACATATTTACATGGTTACTCTTACAAAGACCTGCAGAAAAGCTGTTACGTTGCTAGAGCAGAATAAGATTATTGTAATTTAATATCTTTGGTCAAAAATTGCAGCCTCTGTGGAAATAGAAATTGTTCATATGCAAATACCGATTTCATTTGAAATTCCATCAGAACAATGTATATTTTCCAGCACGGGGTAAGGGAAGGGAGGGTGTGAGGGAGAGAGAGAGAGAAAAGTGATTCTAGAACCTAAGACTGAACCTTCGATTGCTCGCATGAGATGTTCAAAATTCAGGTCTAAGCTTCAGCTCTGCTCAGTTAACGGTCTGGAGCTTCAACCAGGTCCTCTCTGAAATATGGAAAATTATGGAGTCTATCTCATTATTTGCACTGGGTATCTCTGCATTAATAATTCAGTATTCATCTGGCTGGAGACAGAGTATGATTAACTGTCTCTATTCTGTAACTGAGGGAGTTCCCACAAAGTGGAAATCGTGGCTTCACATTTTTGCTTTGCCTTAAATAGTTTCAACAATCAAGATCAAGTCCTATCATGGAATACATTTGTGGGGAGAGCAGCCCAGTACAGGTTGGAACCCACACTGAGGTAGACTAATCGGTCTGTTTTTTACCCTGCACAGAGAGAGATAAAAGGAAAACTTTGCACTGCAAAGGAAAACTGAAACCTTGAAAGGTTTCATGGATTGGGAACACCTACACAGTTTGTCAATTGAACAACCAAATCACCTCCACCGCAATGATTATGATGTGGGCTTTTCTGCAGTGTATTTAGAGTGGAGGCCAAATTCTGGAAGAAAATATATAAGTGACCGTATTGGTCAGCTGGTTGAGTTTCGCACAGAAGAGAATTTTTTTAAACTATGCTATCTTACATTGTCATTGGGATAGTATACATTGCCTTTGTTATGCTTTTTTTGCTGCCTAACATAGAAAACTCTATATTTGACGCAGACCTCGACATTTTCAACAGCATGGCCATAATACTGTATTATCATTCCACACTCGTACTCTTCATGGGTAAAAAAGTAATAAAAGGTATACTCCTATGAAATAGGTACCACTTAAAATATAGTCAGTACTTTTAGAAATGTGATAGGTGCTATGTAAGAATTAGATATGATTTCAATATCAGGCACAAATTTCAATAACTCGTTAACAGGAATTAATTGAAGATAGAAATTAGAGCTTTTTGAATTGTATTTTAAATCTAAAGGAAAACAAAGTAGAAATTCTGTCAGTCAGAGCTCAAACCAAACCAAAGTCTTGCTCTCCTTTAAGATTTGTGAGCTTCTGGTAGCCCCTTGCTATGGTGCAGTAACCCACTAGTGAATGCGGGGAAACTAAGCGGAACGTTTTACAGCATTGCATTGCCAATGCTTATTACGATGTCACATCTCTGAAACCAGTTCAGCAGTGTTGCAGCCTTTCTATCACTTGCTGTCTGGTCTTCAAAATCAATCCATAAATAAACCAGCCAAACACAACAACAATAAAATAGATTCTTATTTATGTTATTTGGTCTTTGCTCTCCCTTCAAAAAACTGAAAACTTTCAGTGGCAACATCTTTATCCTAATGGGGTCATGTAAGTTCTTACTTCCTTTCCTTCCTGTGCTCAAACATATCATATTTAAATCTGAAAAAATGCTTCTTTCAAATACCAGAGGATGGTACCAGGATTACCAATTTTGTTCTGGATTATTAATATGTTCTTGTGAAAATTGCTAAAGATCTTCATTGTTCTATTAACCGTTATGACACCCTTCATGGTCACATGGATTCAGCTGATGATTTTTCCACTATGATTAATCAAGAGTTGTTCACAGTTAAGTTAAGCAGTGCTTTAAAATAAAAATGATCCAAATTGATCCTCGTAGTTTAGATATTTGCTGAGTGTCGTCTTAAGAGAGATATTAAAAATAAATTGGCAATATCTTGCATTATTATGTTAATAATAGAGATAAACTTGTCATACTTACTTGTTCTGAATCCTCTCTTCCCTGCAATTTAAACCTATTTTTCCCCATATAGATAATTTCAGAAATATATATTGTGTACTTTTGTACCAAAAGTAAGACTTCTATCCTAAAGATAGACCTAGTAATTTATATGCAATGCGTTTCTTAATGAAAATTCTTATCTCAATATATCTCTACATTTTATATTATCTCTGTATCGTTTCTTCTTTAATCAGCTCTGTTTATCATCTCATCTTTCCTCTGAAGGTTTTTATATGAATGTTTTCACAGGTAAAAGTAGCCGTAAATTGGTAGATTTCTGTTTTCCTTTCAGAAATATTCAATGTGAATATATCTGAGATGGGAAAAATAATCAGAAGCATTTATGTAAGCAATACTGTACTTTGGTATGCAAAGCAACTAAGAATGATAAAATTTAGAAAACTAACAAAAAAGCCATAAGCTGTACTCCTCTCATTGGCTGTTGTTTGCCTTACATTCGACTCTACAACTTTAATATTCAGTTTTTTGTTTAGGATCTCTCTAAATTATCTTAAAGTAGAATGCTGTTAGATGTGCATCTCTGAAGCAAGATTGTTAGATTTTAGTTTGAAACTCCATAAAAAATCTTAATTAGATGTATAAAGACTTATATTAGGACTATATAGGTTATTGTGCATAGTTTTGTAACATGGTTGGACTACACGATCACTTAATCTTCTCAAGGAGTTCAGAGTTTCAGAGTTGTCTGGTCTATCTTTAGTCCAGAGAAAATAACTTGATCTATATCTTTTCTTTTCCCCCCAAAATACTAAGGATAGAGGTGCTTTCCTCCCCAGTAGCAATAGGTGCTAATTTTTAGGCGACATTATATCTCAAATATATCAATAAATAAACTTAGAGACATTAGAGGAAAAATAACCGCAGAGTGAAAGAAAGAGAGCAAGGTTTGTATTTCTCTTCCAGATTATGACAACATCCTACCTACAACCAATTTCAATGAATTATTCTGGATGCTCTTGAATACCAACACTTTTCTGTGGCCAACTACAATTATACTGTCTTTGCTCATCATTTTACAGCTAATAGCAATACATTGTTGAATTAAGGACAGATGATATTGAAAATGGCATTCATCTAATGTAACTTAAACCATCTAGTTGAGGGTTTAAGTTCCAATTAGTGTCTAAGCTTCCTTTGCTCTGGAGAGTAAATCTTCCTATCCTAAGATATGTGGGATAAATTGCCCTCTGGATTTAACTCTTTCTCTCTAGTGGTATCTAATTCTAGTTAAGTAGAGTTTCCTCATCTGCCAGAGAGTTGTCTCAGATAGTTTGCATACCAGATCAACAAAATAACCCTTTTTGTGCTCAAAGAGTATCTTTACCCTTGAGTACTTTTCATCACCTCCTGGTTCCCATCAGAGGCCTTACCTAATTTCAAGGCCTAGTGTCACAGTGGGTTCTCTTGCTCATGGGTACTTTGAAATGAGAAGGTGTTTGTGTTAGCACAAATGCGTGATATGGACAAACTATAGAGAGGCTTTCTGTTTTAAATACCAGGGCTGAGGTTGTCTCTTCAAAGTGTCAGACCCTAAGAGAAACCAGAGGGAAGCAGACCTAGAGAATGAGTTTTCGTCTTCGTTAATTCTTGAAGCTAGCAGTGTGACCTCTATAATAGCAGTTTCGGATTACAGTTGCACTATCAGTGAAACTACTAGTTTCACTATTAGTCCTTCTAGCATCCTGTTTAATTGATGATGCTAATTTAAACACAGTACTCCACAATATACTAAAAGACAAAAAGACATCAGTCTTCTGTAGGTTAAGAAAGAAAAAGGAGCATTAATCATCTTTTGCTTTCTTTTTTTGTCTTTCTCTTGACCTATTTTAGTCAGTTCTGACATGATATAGTAACTTTGAAAGAGTTCTTTGTGTGGTGGTTTTAAAGGAAAAGTTTAAACCTTTCTCTCCCTCTTTGGAATGAACAGATCTTGGTTGTCCAGCGTAGGCCATGATTTAGCATAACACTACTTTTTAAGAATAATATTGTTCTTTCCAGCTTCTGCAGTGTAACATTGCCTTCCTGATGACCAGTCTTATGATTAAAGGATAGGGGAAGCATGCAGGAGTTTGAACTCCCATCTCCCTATGCTCCACTTGAATTAGGAACCTATGTGAAGTCTAAACTCTGCTAATCTCCAATACAGCCAAAAAGGGTAGCTTTACAGTTGCTACTAGCTTCAGTAGAAACTGATATTTTCACCAAACAAAAATTGAATTGAGAGCTGCTCAGCTCATTCATTATGCCTTTTTTTAGATTCATGTAATCAATTAACTTCATTCAAGTCGTTAAGATGGAGTAACTTAGACCAGAAGTATGCTCTTGTGCTATATAAAATAAATCTCATGAAAAATATGTTTTAATATTTTTCTTGTTCTTTGATAGGAATGTACATAAGCTAGTCTAGATGGGCAGATGAAATCAAGAAGAAAGTTCAGGCTGACAGCAACTGATCATGGTCAGATGGAACTTGTATATACAACAACTTTGCAAACAACTGGCTGAACTGGAAACTTTGATTTAATTAACGGTTTGTGTCCGTGTTTATAAAGGGTAGGTCACCCACTCAAGGAAAAGAAACAAACTAATGCAACTTAAATTTAAGTAGTATATTGTTGTTAGCAAATAGACTGTACGTAGCCTTTGAATAATTTAAGAAAAGCTCAAGCACATTTGTAATTAGTATTCATTCAGCCACTCTGAATGAAAGCTTGGAATAATTAAAAAATATATGTTTTGTAGACAACTTGGAATGAAAATAATATGTTCTGTATGACGAGATAAACTACATTTAACAAATAATTCAGCTATAATTTTTTTCTTTTTTTTCTCTTTTCTCTTTTTTTACTCTATTTTTTTCTCTTTTCAACATTTCTTTAGTATTTCTGGAAAAACACATGAAATACATTCAAATGGTAGCATAGCTGATTTTATAGGCTGCAGAAAGGATAGTCATAGTTCATGTATGCTCAAATGGTAGCAATTAGGGAGTAAAACTGATTAGGTGTACAGAGACTACAAAAAACAAACAAAATCCTTACCATCTCCTTGGAAATGCAAACACATGCATACATGAAATTTCAACAATGTTCTCATTTAAACGTAACTGAACTGTTTCCTTAGAAGACACCTATGTTTTGTTTAGCGTCAACATTTTCTCTTCCATTTTGTTCTGTGCATTCCCTTCTAGGTACTTTGGAATATTTGGGATTATCAAATCCAAGAAATAAACATGAAATGTAGAAAGGCAGACCCATTGGAACTTAAATTCTTGATCATAAACCCCAGCAGAGCTATGAAATAGAAGTGTGTAATTTCAAAGATCTCTAAACAGATTTTAGTATCCAGCTCAATGGAACATCTCAGTAAATGGGTAGTAACAGGGAAAACAACTCTTAAGTAACTTTTGAAATAGATACATGCTGGAAGATGATGAAATAAGTCTTGTTACAAAATATTCATCTTTTAAAACAAAGCAAAAATTTAAGAAGTAAATTCTACCTTTTTGCCATTCTATTATATTTTATTTCCCTGTGTGTCATTAGTGAAAGGTAAGCAGGCTTATAATCTCCATGGGATGTGGATAGGAGGGAAACAGGTTAGTGAGTTTAAACCATATGATCATAGATATAAACTGCTTTTATATAAACTTTAATAGAAAGGAAAACAGTTATCATCTGTTACAGAAGAATGAAAAATTGTGTCTCAATGCATCATAATAGATTCTCGTGTTCAGGTATTAGTAAAACAATATTCAAGATTGATATAGATAAAGTACAACACTACAACACAGTCTTTTCCAAATTCTGTTTTAATTCTTATTTTTAACCCTAAATATGCATGTTTTACAGACTTAGATATGAACATAACAGTCTAGTTGGGAAAGATAGTGCTAGATAACTTCGTGTTTTGAGTTTGAGTGTAATAATGGTGTTCTTTGATGTGCCTTGCACCTATGTACCTTTTCATGATTTATGTCTCTGTCTAATAAAATATGTATATGGCTCAAGCTGTTGATGCAGTTGGCATCTGTTTCAGATTCATTTTTACTGACAGCAAGCTGCTACTGGCTGGCACTCAACCTTTTTATCATCAAAAATACACAGACTGGCACTCCTGGCATTGCTTTCTATTCTACACTAGAATTCTTCATCAGATATACTGCACTAAAACCTGTGATGGATGATAAGCATTATAGAATATGCACTTAAAGTTTCTGAAATATAATTTTTAAATAATGCTAGAATTTATAGAGAAGTTATTATAACAAGTGTAATGATGCTAAATAACCCTTTGCAATGTCTAAGCTTTTAATCCCATTTCAAAGATGATAGGATATCTTTCTATGCATATCTATATAAATATTCTGACATATCTATGTCATTTGTTATAACAGAGCTAAGACAGTTTAGAATAAGCCAAGTATGTGACTTAGTAGTAGTATGGATCATTTCTCTTTATTATGATATCTTTCCTTTTCATCCAACATTGCAGAGGGAAGTGTGTGTTTGTGTATGCACTTATACACAAACAAATGCATGCATAGGTTTACATAAATGCACATACAAACACAGGCATACATGCATATACACACATTTAGATTTGAGTTGCAGCAATAGCTGGCAGCACTTCTCCAAATATTCCATGATTTGAAGAATCTTCTTTCCAGATCTTTGCATTGTATGGAGTAGATTATTTTGGCTTAGTTCCGAGCAGGTAGTTTGGCACAGTACAATATAAAGAATTTAAATTCTTATGTATGTGCTTTATAATGCTTGCTCATTATGATGCTGCTACCATTTTATGTTTATGGGTAATTATGGCCTATTTGACTCGCATTTCCACTATTCACAAAGTTATCTTCATTCTCACATTTTCACTTATGCCTAGAAACACTCTTTTGATATTATCTGTTATAATGAAGCACCATATTTTCTTTCAGATCTCACCTGGAGAGTCACTTAATTTAGGATGTCTGACAAAAAATAGCAAATTAATAATGATAGGTTGGAAAGAGTGCATAGCTATGAAAAATAGGTATTTATATTTTAAAAGCTGTTGCATATAGACTGTGTCCTGCTCTCCCACTCTTCCTATGTTGCTTGTTCTCTTAGATTGTGTATGCTGTAGGCATGGACAAAGTCCTGCACACTGGGTGCTCCAGTAACAGAATGAATAATAACAACAAAATTCTCAATTTTCAGTGTAATTCTGCCCATTATTAAAATAGAATTTGCAAAAACACCTGATCTTTTGGCAGGAGACGTGTTTTCTGCAGTTCAGATGTTTCCATTCTCTTGGCAACCCAATTTTGTCTTAGTTAAAAATGTGGAAATAGAAACTGCAAAGCTGCTGCAGCACTAAAGAACAGTTCAACAACCTGCTCAGAATCAGTAGAGATATTATTACTCCCATGACAAAACAGTAGAACATCCTGTTTGAAAGCCAGAATTAGATGATAGTCTATGTTGTTTGAGAAATGGGGAGTTTTCACAGGGTTCTTCAAGGTTTATTTGAGTGGTTGAATGTGTTACAGAATGGTTGAAGTTGGAAGACACCTCTGGAGATCATCTAGTCCAAACACCCTGCTCAAGTAGGGTCACCTAGGTTGCCCAGGACTGTGTCCAGACAGCTTTTGAACATTTCCAGCGAAGGAGACTCCACTACCTCTCTGGGTAACCTGTGCCAGTGCTCTGTTAACCTTACAGGAAATAATTTTTTTCTCATGTTCAGAAGGAACTGCCTGTGTTTCAGTTTGGGCTCATTCTTTCTTGTCCTGTCGCTGAGCACCACAGAGAAGAGTCTGGCCCCGTCCTCTCGACACCCTCCCGTCGGATACTTATACACGTTGATCAGATCCTCTCCTCAGTCTTCTCTTCTCCAGGCCGAACAGGCCCAGCTCTCTCAGTCCCTTCATCATCTTGGTAGCCCTCTGCTGAACTCCCTCCAGGAGCTCTCCATGTCTCTCTTGTCCTGGGGAGCCCAGAACTGGACACAGCCCTCCAGGTGAGGCCTCCCCAGGGCTGAGCAGAGGGGCAGGATCACCTCCCTCCACCTGCTGACAACACTCTGCCTAAAGCACCCCAGGATATCAGTGGCCTTCCTGGCCACAAGGGCACATGGCTGCCTCCTGCTCAACTTGGTGTCCACCAGCACTCCCAGGTCCTTCTCGGCAGAGCTGCTCTCCAGCAGGTCAGCCTCTGGCTATGCTGGTGCCTGGTGTTATTCCTGCCTAGGTGCAGGACCCTGCATTTGCCTTTGTGGAACTTCAGGAGGTTCCTCTTTGCCCCACTCTCCAGCCTCTCCAGGTCTGTCTGAATGGCAGCACAGTCCTCTGGTGTATTGGCCACTCCCCGCAGTTCTGTATCATCAGCAAACTTGCTGAGGTGCACTGTGCCCCATTATCCAAGTCATTAATGAAGATGTTAAACAGTATTGGACCTAATATTCACCCCTGCAGGACACTGCTAGTTACTGGCATTCAGTTGGACTTTGTGCTGCTGATCTCAACCTTTTGAGAAATGCTATTCAGCCAGTTTTTAATCTACTTCATTGTTGACTCACCTAGTCCATAAATGTCTGTAAAGCAAGGACATCACCTTCAATGAATATTCCAGAATTCAAAATACTACACATCTTGCAGAAACCTTGGAGATATTGGTAAAACAGATGTAATAATCTTTTCCCAAAATCTCATTGGATTGGGCTATTATTGCATCCCCAGCTTTGTATGAGCAAGCTGCTTAATAGTAAAGTATGATAATCCTAATAAGATTTCCTTAAACTGTGCCAGGCTCCTTCTGCAGTGTTCTTGGATTTGCAGTGCTACTCCCTCCGCTTAGCGAACTTCATTTAGTCATAGTATCTGCCCAAAACTGAGTATACGCTACATTGGCTCAAATTTGAGGGTAAGATCACATTTTAAACTGCTTCTGATAGTGTAATCCATCTTTTTTTCTTATCATTTATCCCTAAGAGTGCCACTAAGTTCCCTTTTGACTTCTTCCTTTCTTTTCTTTCATTCCTCTTGCTTGTTTGCTGTGATCCAATTAGCCTAATTTGTAAACTGCCACTGCCTTGGAGTGCTCTGAGGTGACTAGCAGATTCTCTGTCTCTGGAAGTTCCCTCACAACCCTCTGTAATACTTGACTTTATGAGAGTATCTCTAAAGTGTTAAAGAACAGCCAGGTAGGTGTATTGCTCTTCCTCTTTCAGCCTAGCTTGCAAAGCCCCCTTCTCAATGTATGGTTTATATCTTCTCTTCTCTGGCATTCTGTACCAGAATTTGCTCCTGTCATTTGCGACCAGAATCAGAGGCCTCTGTTGGTAGAGACTGGTGCTTGTCTAGTAAATTGGGTGGCCCTCTTAGTGGAGCCTTCTATGTGCTTCGTGACGTGAGAACTGCTTCATATCCTCCTTTTGTTTCTTCTCATTTGTCTTCTAGAAGATAATCCCATGTTCTCAGAATTTCTTTACCTGGCATATGAACTGTACACTTCCCTACCTGCCTCAAAAGTACAGTCAGACTCTCATGCACAGTTTTATGAATTGAGCAATTATCTACTTATACTTATTTTCTGTACTGTTTCCTCACCCTATGTCTCTCATTTAAATGTCATGCTTACAGAGAACAAAAACCTATATTGAATTATCCCCAGCACCACTGTAGTTTCCAAGCCTCCTCAGGACAGAATTTGACAGCTTCTGGCACGAGCACAGGATTCACGAAGGGCTTCATAGAGCCACCCAATAGTGGTCCTTTCTGCAGTGAGGGGAGGGTGGTATGCCGG